CTAACCAAGATTTGACGAAAAAGTTACCAAATGTAAGGAAAAATAACCAATTTTTTTATTAGATTAATAACTCAGGTCATCACTAATTCTTTTATATAGTACGTATATACAAATTTTACAAACTAAAGAAAATCAGTTTTTATTTGCATTTTTGAAAAGTAAATCCTTTTAAGGCTGAAAATAAGTGAGATACATTCATATATAAGTATATATATAAATACATATTTTAGAAAATCAGGCTTCCCGTATTAGGTGCATATGTATGTTAATATCTTTAACATTACCAGACTCTAAATGACGTTTTTAAATAAGTACATAGGTACACAGTTTCCAACTTCTTTGTTAGAATCAATGAAATACCTAATCAGCGTGAACAACCACATTGTAAATATTTTATAATTAAGATTAAACAATTAAAAGTTGGACTGTATTGAACTATATCGTCGCTCAGCGCGAAGTACCTCGTATACGCCAAACGCAGTACCGCGTATACGATAGTAAATAAATTTTACAAAAGCGCGAGAAACCGATTTTTTCAAAACTGTGGAATGGTATTTCCCTTGAACCTACTTGCTATAAGATTATTATTNAGGTGTGTGCAAAGAACATAGAAATTGTGTAACTGCGGGGCCGTTTCAAAAACTTGGCGATTAATTCACCGCTATTTATTAAAGACACGAACCGATAATAGTTGCACCCTCGAACTTTTACTGTTCTTTTGCATATGTAAACAAATGATTGTTATCGGAATAAGTCGAATCTTGAGTTGCCATTTTAGAGTAATAACTTTAGTTAAATAACCATATTGAGCAGAATAAATGTATTTGTTTATACTATTTTTCAAAGATTTAATTATTGTATGTATACAAAAGTTAGAAACTACAGCAAATTTAAAAAATAACCAAAATGGGAAATATCTTAACAACTTCACAGACAAGAAAAAAATAACCAAAATTGGTTAAAAGTAACCAAAACGGCAACACTGACTTTAGGGCAAAATAACGCTCGAACGCTCAAATGCTTAAAAAGGCCAAGGGGAAATGCGCTCACTAATTGCAAAGTTGGTTTTACACTTCACAGCAGCAGCAGCAGCAGCAGCCAGCAGCAGTGGTCGGCAAAGGCAGCCCAGGTGAGTCGTAAAGAGAAGTGTGGAATGTTGGTGGACGAGGCGAGAGCGAGGGTGAACGAAAAATGCACTTTGCCGACATTCTGAAAATCAAGCGAAATGTTCGCTAATTTCAATAAAAAAAGAGTGCCTTAAATAAATACCCACCGCGCGCTGCACTCATGCATTGCTTGTTCTCGTTTTCTTCAGGTCCCTGCGCCGCTCGCTGATCGTTTGCGCACAGAAAATATTGCTAAGAAAACACAAATAGTAGCAGCAGCACCGAAAACAAACGCAAAACTCAGCTAAGAATAACAAACAAATGCGGCTGCAACTAAAACGCAGAATTCGGAGGAATTTGTTGTTCTTACCGTTTTGCTTGGTGTGAGCGCTAAAAGAAATGTACGCTAGAAAGCGTTAGAACAGCAAAAGATGGTTAAATTTTTAAAACTTATCTTCGCAAACAATCTCTATTGCATGGACATATTTTTTTTTTTTTTTAGATATGCATATAGCATGCTTCTGAGTTTTCTTTTTGCTTTTCGTTTTCATTTTCGTTTCATGAACAACAAATTGCCTTTATTATTTAATTAAACCCATCGGGCTGACAATCGCTGCTCAACACAAAGTATAGATAATTAACTATTGGCACTGGCATTTTTGAAGCTCAAAAACTTTCGTAAAACTTTGTCGGACATTATACAGCTACCAAAATGCCAGCAAAGTTGGAAANTTCGTTTCATGAACAACAAATTGCCTTTATTATTTAATTAAACCCATCGGGCTGACAATCGCTGCTCAACACAAAGTATAGATAATTAACTATTGGCNTTTTTTTTTTTTTTTAGATATGCATATAGCATGCTTCTGAGTTTTCTTTTTGCTTTTCGTTTTCATTTTCGTTTCATGAACAACAAATTGCCTTTATTATTTAATTAAACCCATCGGGCTGACAATCGCTGCTCAACACAAAGTATAGATAATTAACTAGTAATAGATAATAGATAATTAACTGGCATTTTTGAAGCTCAAAAACTTTCGTAAAACTTTGTCGGACATTATACAGCTACCAAAATGCCAGCAAAGTTGGAAAAGATTTTTCTGTTATAAACAACCATGAAGGTTATATAATTTTAATAAAGTGGTTGAAAAAGTGCTTCCCTCCGCGGGGATAATAAGCATTGTAGCGAAGAAAGTACTAGCCAGCATTTGTTACAATATAGACCTACCGTAACCAGCTTATACTCACACCCGTCTTCGTATTCGTGTTTGTCGTAAAATGTATCTTCGACTTCAGCAATAAATTCGTGTTCGTCTTAGTCTTCGCCTTCGTATTCGTTATCCTTTTCGTAATCGCGCACTCTTTCGTATTCGTACCAATATTCGGATTCGCGATGTTTCTTTCTCTTTGTATTCGTCTTCGAATTCTTCTTTGCCTTCCTATTTGTATTCGTATTTGTACTTGCCTTTGTATTAATTTGTATTTTTTCACAGTTTTTGCAATTTGGCAAGTTTTTTTTTTTATGCTAGTTAAAGTGAGTTGTTGCTAAAAAAAATAACTTTTATCAAAATACTAAAAAAAATCTATATTTTGCAAAAAAAATATTAATTCTACCAAAACTTTTTTGTTTATACAAATCTCATTTCTTCAATATTTCAATAAGTCAACGATCTTACTCAAACTGTGGTTGAAAAGAAATTAGGACTCAGGAACTCTGTAAACCGGATTGCTGACAGATAACGCAAAGTTTGGCATATATTCAGCATTTTAATCAGCTATTATTTTTATATCTCAACGTGAGCGCTTTAAGCCAATCGCCAGAACTATTTTGTGCGAAGTGCCAACATAAGTTTGACCGAAGAATAGGATCTGTCTATTCCCAGTTGTTTTCAGAAGTTGAGACTTGAGGTTGCTTTTCTACTTTTTCGGTGCCTTAAATTAGGCAGTAAAACTTAATTTTTTTAACCCTACAACCTTGATAAAAAAAAACAGACCTTATTTCTTGGAAAAGGCCACGAATGGTACTTTTAAATAATTTCAATAGTTTTCCCTAAAAGAATCAAGTTCGTATTCCTAAATTCTGAGAAAATATTACATATCGGGTGTTCAAGTAGTATTAGGATTTAGTGCTCGCCATCTGATGGGGTGACTTCTGATTTGGTCTTGACATTGACATTGAACGTCAATTCTAGTTTCAATGGAAAAGAAACTTTCCATCATATAGTAGTGCCATTCGAAGACATATGTGAAGGCGTGTTTCCGAGGCAGCCAAAGCCGAATAAAATAAAAGATCGCGTAGTAGTGTAAAGTGAGATTCAAACTGTTTCGTTAATATTTCTTTTAAATATTTCCATTCTAAGGGAAGCCGAATCAGAAGGCCTCGAAACTCGGACCATTCCATATAAATTGAAAAAAATAAAGTAGCGAGCACGGAAGGCTCAAAAAATCTGAAATAAGGCGCCCAGAAGGCCACTTAGTTTTTAATTTTTCCGACTGGATAATTGTACATGCATACATACCATGCAGGGAAACCTCGAACTAATAAACCAAATACTAATACTAGATCTTTATCGCTAAAAACCCCCCCCCACGAATTCAAATGCAACGAAAGGTGGTATTTTTTAAAAAAAAAACTATTTTATTTTACTTTTTAAAGCTACATATCGATAGCTTAGAGTGAAAACTTGCTGCTAAGTCCACTTTACTTAAAAAATTATATTTTGATGCAAGAAGTAAGAATAATTTCTGAAATATGGAACTACTCATTTAATTTGTAACCGTTTCTGTTCAGTGATACGCAAATTTGCTAAGTTCAATGTAGTCACAGAAAAAGCGATAAGTTCCAAAGAATAAAAAAAAAAAACTCTTCATTCAAACAAATTAGATTTCAGTTGCGAAAATCGCTACCGTGGGAAAACAAAAATACTCTGTTTGAAAAATAGTGTTACTTTCTTCGTCTGTCGAGTTTAGAGCTGCTTCGAGACTATAGAAAAAGGGATGACTACTTCCCATCTAACGAATTTAGGACTGGTTCCGAACTATAGAAACGGTAATTCAGCGGTGGACAATTTCCACTTCCTAGGACATCGCCATGTTAAATTTGCATGTTGTTTGCATGCAAAGAGATTTATCGCAAACCAGTAGTTTGTCTGCATAAATGCACTAGAAGCGTACCTGTACAAAACTAGAAATTTTCCCATTTTTGCACTTTTATAAAAGAGGAATAAATTATTTATTACCTCTTTCTATATACTCCTCAAATGCAACCTTGGAAGGCAGTCGGAATACGCAAATGTCAATATTTATCCAACCTTCAATAATTGAATAATGATCATTTAAGATGCGTCAAAACAGTCAAAGGTCATATCTGAGAGCACACACATACAAACATATGTATTCATGAGAAAACCAGTTATTTTTGGACAGAAGCAGCAGGCATGACAAAACATGTTCAAAAGTCGGTCGTTTAAAGTTGACCTTGCAAATGTAACGCCTTCATACGCACACACACACACACACACATACATACATATTTATTGTAAACCGAGCAGCAAACATAAAACCACACAACTGAGTCGAATAACAAAGCAAGCAAACTAATGGATCTTGGAAAAAAAACGCAGGTAAACAAAATAGTGATTAGGCATCGCTTTAGTGTGAAACACCCTCGCATCTTATCTGCACTAACGAAGGTGTCACGCATAAAAGCGGCATGCACAGCCATAAAGGCAAACAGTTTTAGTAAAATAGTCATTTAAGCAGGATTAGATAAAGCGCGCTTTAGAGTACAGACAAAAAAAATAAAACTTATAAATAATAGCATTTTTTATCAAATCTCAGCGTAAAAAGAAGTTTTGAACTTCTCAAAACGAAAGAAATCTTACAAACAAAAAAATGTCTAAATACAATTCGATTACTGCATCTTCTCAATTTTTGGAGCAACAAGCTTATGCGCCAATGCTATACCAAAATGTAGGCCCATTACAAACTATGTCTATCTACCAACAACAAATACAAAAACACAATTTCGACGAATTCATCGCTAATGAAATGAGACGACTACGTAATCAATTAGCCGAAGAAGAGTCCAAGTATGTGAAAGATAAACTTGCTGAAAACCCAGTGGACTTGGAGCGTCGCACGCGTTCGCCAAATAGTAGTGGCCGTGAAGAAAATGTGACAAATCCTGAAGACATCGAGGCAAGAAGCATCAGCTCACCTGAGCGTGCAACGCTACGTAAACAACGCGCCGTTTCTTGTCGCAAATCGCGCATTAACAATAAGCTGAAGAAGGCTACACAGCAGTATCGCAACGATTTTTTGGCCGACAAGGTATTACAATCGAAGAAGACCATTTCGGAGATGAGGCGAAAAATTAGAAGCGTCGAACAAAGGCTGCTGGCTAAGGGTCGCACTCAAGCGGAGTTGGCGCAGTTACGTACAATTTATGGTGTACCAACTATTGACACTGGTGATGACGAGGAAGTGAGAGATGCGGATGCGGTAAATGCATATTTCTAGTGCTCTTAAATAAGTACTAAGAAATCGGCCTAGACTTATGGTATTAGATTAAGTTGCTTATGTATCACGAGAAATGTGTGTTTGGCAATAAAATTAGTTTAAAAAATTATTAAAAGTGTGAAAACATGCTTTAGACCGGTAGAAGAAATGTGCAAAAGCATTTTTCTTATTTGCTTCGATTTTGTATGTAGTTATCGGCAAAAAATTGGGTCTCAAGAAAAGGTAAACGTAGCCACCAAAGCGCTAAATACGATGCTTAGATTTCTTCCGATAAACTGACAAAGAAAATAAATCATCCCCTTGTTTCAAGCAATATGATTTGACACCTAACGACCTTTTGTTTACTTTAAGCAGATTTATTTTGGATATTTTTTCGTTTGAATACAATTTCGTTCTTCACTTCACAGATGCTTTTTCATAATTGAGAAACACCGAAAGAAAAATCAAAAATTATGTGCTTCGTCCAATTCGTTCTATTTTATTTTAAATATAAGTAAATAAATAATATTCCACTTTTTCTTATTTAATTTTAAACCGACTTCACAAAAAGGAAAAGGTTATCGATTAATCGGAATATTTTATGTTATTTTTTTATGTACGTTACCGTATAACTACCGTAGGAAAGCTATTAACCCACGGGATTGGAATACGAAGAAATTAACGACCATCTTACATTTTTATATGCGAATTAAAGACGGTTTTGTTTTTTGCTTAAAAATTACTTGTTATTTGTTATTTCACAAAATTATTTCGCGCTACTCTAATTTTTAGACTTTAACTTTTATTAAATTTGGCCTTTTTAATATAACTATAATTGTATTGAAACAAAACTCAAGTAATAATTTAAGCATCAAAAAAAGAAGTATACAAATTTTTATTCGATTCGGGATTCGATCCTTCGCCCTCGCGGCTCCGCAGTGGGCCAGAAGGCAAAAAAAGTAGCCAAAATTGTGGCTTGACTATTTAAACGCGAAAAAATCAGAAATAAATATTTTGATGGCATTATAGCCTATTATCTAAGATATCAAAATCCGTTGAATATCGAAAAGGACCAGGTGTCAAAAATTAAAAAAAAAAATCCAAGAAGACACGTATTTTGGATTTTTTGAAGTTTTAGCAGCTTGAAACGTGTCAACAACTCAACGGATTCGTTCTCTTTTCTCCCTGTTATTTTCTGTAGAAAGTATCTAAAAAAAAATTAAAAACATCATAACTACTTCCATTCGAAACCAGATTGGATATCGGCCTATATCGGCAGCCAGTTCGAAAATGCCGTATCTCATAAAACAGAATTTGATTGAAGGACGCCGTATTTCAGCATTTTATTGAAAACACCCTATCCGAGGATTTTGTTGAAGAAAGCCCTATCCCAGCTGCCGATTCAAAAACGCCCTATATGAGCACATTTTCAATGTATTCTCAGCTGAGGTAGGACGTTTTTGAACCGAATTCTGAGGTCGGGTGTTTTTCAATAAAATTCTGAAATAGGGCGTTCTTGAAAAGTTTTTTTAGTTAGAGCACTTTCGAACTGGCTGCCGAGATAAGTCTAGCTTCCACTCAGATGTCGAATTTCTATAGTAAAACAAAAACGGTTTCAAGAGATTTTTAAAAAAATATTTTGGAGAGGGGTTACTACCTTTCTAAAAAGTTACAATCACGTTTATTAACCCAGTATATTTTATACAGAAACTATTTAAAATCTATTTTGTGACTTCAGCTGTCATCACTAGAGTTTAATTCAATCACTTTAGGCCGGCCGGTGTACACAGATCAATTTATACGGACGTATCTTTTATCTATTTTTTTCTGGGATCCACTGGATCCCGTGTGACAATATTGTGGCAAAATGTAATATTTAGTACGTACGTTTTTATGTATTTAATTGTTATTAGTGGCATAGATTCTAATATTCATTCGTAGATTGCAATATATTTTAAAATATTAGTATTTTTTATCAAATTACGTTGTCCAGCTTTGTTTTCCCTATGCATACACATTGTGCCTCGATTGCCATACACACGAGTAATGCAATATATTTATTTTAAAAAGTAATTATTTTGTATTGAAATAAGCTAAACAACTAACTTAACGTACAAGAAAAAACGATTTACCTTTTACTTTGTTTATCCTTTGAAATTACGAGCTTTGCGAAATTAGCTAGCTGTGATATTCAAAATAAATACCTTATTTCAATGTTCATCAAAATGTTATTTACTTTCTTTAAGTAAAAATTTCAGCAACACAAGGTGAAAGTTGTTTTGCATATAGCAAAAATTTACATTTTTATCAAGTCGTTCGAGAAAAAAGTCAATAAAATAAATTTTGTATATCCGTTCATTCACGCGGCTCTTTTTTAAAATTTGGTAAAAATCCTGTCAGATAACGAACGGAAAGTTCTAAGACTCGAGTCGATATATGAAATAAAACGTACTTGGCATATGTTTATTGGCTTGGGGTTAGGAGGTGTGACCATTACGGGTTAAAAAAATGTGTACTTATTTAATATTAAAAATGGGTATCAAACGGAAGGTGTTTGAAAGACCTCTAACACTAACCTGTTTTTGAGTGGAACTGCCTGTCTATCAACTAAGGCTATCATATTTATTAACTAATTTATATTATTTAAAGCAAAAAAATACGAATTTAATTGAAAAATTTTAGGTGGGCGCTTTTGTGTTATATTCTTATAAAAAATTCATTTAGTTTGACTAAAATTGATAAATGGATTTAAAAAAATCTTTCAAAATTTAACCTGTTATTAAAATGTACAAAGCACGGTACAGGTCTTTCGCGTATTATACTATACAGATATGCGCGCCAAATAAGTAAAAACAGGCATTTTGCAAAATGTGCAAAATTATGCACTAACGATTAAGTTCCATTTTAAAGGAAATTCAATGATCCCTAAAGATAAAATAATAGTTCCTATTTGAAGATGCCCAATAAAACGATGCATTTGCATGAGATTCCCAATCCTTTTTTATTGTTATGAAAGTAGCTGGCCTCGTATGCGCGAGGCTTCACCACGCGTTGAATGTGTATATAAGTGTGTACTTACACGCATTTGGAGAAAGCAAGTAGCAACCCTACTCAAAAGAATAAAGCCTTACTACACATATTATGACCTAGCCCTTTCACTTTACATCTTATATTTTTAATGCGACGAACGGTGTGGATCTTATAATTTTTTAGAGAGGCGATAACTCTTTAAAAATAAAATAAAATCTTGTTGCACAAAGAAGGAAAAGCTCTTTAACTGGGCAATTTATTTTTTTTTTTATGTCATTAACGAAACAAATCTATTCAAAAAAAGTAAAAGCTTATTGCACGTCCGATACCATATCCTTTCACTAAGCGCCTAATTTTTTAGTCCAACAAACGGTGAAGATCTTATATTTTAAAAATATTTGGCAATCCTACTCAAAAAATAATACATTACTAAACATCTGGAGGCCAAGCCCTTTCATTTCACATCTCACGTTGGTAATGCATCGAACGGATCTTATAATTTGTTAGACAGGGGCAGCTCTAAAGATTTTCTAAGTACTCTAAAACAATACTCCTATCAATACAAATTACATTAAACAAAATCTCCCCCAAATCCATTTAGTACTTTTTGAGATAAGCATGTTCAAAGAATCATCTATACTATGTATAGATACCCTGCAAAAAGTAGGACAAGGTTAAAGATACTAGTACAGGACCACACTACCCGGTAACCAACACTAGTAACCAAAATGGCCCAAACATATGAAGGAAATATGGTTACATTAACATGATGTGGGACCACCTACACAACTACACCTTTTGGACCATGGACTGCACTTTACAATATTTGGTACAAACCGGATATTTGATCATTTTTAGCGATTCTTTTTAAATTTAAATATTAAAACCTATTATTTAAATGCATTTTCTTAAAATTCGCTGTAGTAAGATTCACATTCGGCAACCGAATCAAATTGCCGACAGGCCAAGAGGAGGCGGTGTTCAACACATATAGGTATCAGTTTTTTTTTTTACTTTTTAAGTGGTCTAGGTCAGCTTAATAAGTTACTAGTATGCAACCTGGTACTTTTGTACATACTTTAAAACTACATCCCAGTAGACCACGCGGTTCTCAAATTTTTGCAGGGTATGACCAAAAGGGAAAGTTACTTACACGCTGTTTATCTTACATGTTCATAGAGGCACACTTGTTTTCTTGAAAATATAATGTAGATATATTTTTTAAAATAGTTGGCGATAATCGGATTAGTGCACATTACTTAAATAAATATGTAATTTTAAGTTTATTGTTTAAAACTTTTAAATAACATTGATTTTTTGTCTAATTTTTATTATTACAACGCTTTTATCAACTTGCAGTGTTGTGGATCCAGAAACTTTCAATGTTGTGTGTCCGACACCATAA